CATTCTTGGTTAAGAAAAATGGGGTTTGATCGAGGAAGACCCCCTGAAAAATCTCCAATGGGAATGGATAACCCAGATGATCCAACGTTTCGGAGAACCTCTCTTGCAGTTTCCTCTGAGTTCTACATCCCGAACAGCTTCAAGACTGCTGGCTGAGATGATCCAGGCTCACAGAATATTCCAGTCAGAACTTGACCATAATCCTCAATTATTGTTGGGGTTTCTGTCCCGCCAGGTCCTGCAGCCGTTCAGCCCCAAAATGCACAAAGGTCTACATTAGTTACAAACTGATTTGTCTATTAGCTCAGGCTTCTTATTAACTCTTATAACATATATTATCCCATTATTCTTGTCTATGTTAGTCACATGGCTTAGTAGCTTTTTCTGTGAGGCAGTCACATCTTGCTTCCTCTGTGTCTGGATCACGACTGCAGACTGCAGAATCCTCTCCCCAGAATTCCCTGTTCTCATTGCCCAGCCTCTACTTCCTGCTTGGTTGCCCCACATATACTTCCTGCCTGGCTACCGGCCAACCAGCATTTTATTAAACAAGTACAAGAAACAAATGTTTACAGGGTAAAATCATTGTCCCACAGTACTAAATTTTCTTTGGGTCCCTAAAGCATCCCCAATCAGCAGGAAGTAGTCTAGAAAACTATACCCACATTCCTCCCCCCCCAAATGAATTATGGATATTTGTCGTTGTTTAGAGTGTTGGTTACAAGTTGTTATGGATCGTGATCACGAAAAAAGTTAAACAAAAGAGATGAGATTCAACATTCTTGTTTTGAAAAGAAAAAAGGGGAAATGCTGTGGGATAATGCTCTTGTACATTGTAAAGATTTTTTGTTCGTATTGGTTTAATAAAATGCTGATTGGCCAATAGCAGGAAGTATAGGTGGGATGACCAGACGAGAATTCTGAGAAGACAGAGATGCAGTCACCAGCCAGACATAGAGGAAACAAGATGAGAGTGACTCTCTGATAAAAGGTACCAAATCACACAACTAACCATAAACAAGAATTAAAAATTATGGGTTAATTTAAGTTATAAGAGTTAGTTAATAATAAGCCTGAGCTAATAAGACAAACCATTTACAATTTTGAAAACATTAATGATATATTGATCCAACAAAAGAAAACAGAACAAAAAATCCATAGAGTATAAAGACAGATCAATAGTTAAGATTACAAGTTGCTTTTTTGGAGGATGTGGATCAATTCCCAGAACTTACTTGGAGGCTCAAAACATTTGGAACTCCAGCTCAAGGGAAACCAATGCTATCTTCTGATTTCAGTGGACACCAGGCACATATCCATATTTATAGGCAAAAGACTCATACAAATGGTTTAATTTTTTTTAATGGTCCTTCTATCCTGGGGAGGTCAGCAGCTATGATGAAAGAGAGTCACATGGTGGCTATTTAAAAACATCTATTTTTTAAATTTAGAATTTGAATTTAATTGAATATACAGTAAGTGGATCAATTTTTAACAAGAGTTGAATCACATAAAGTTAGTTGTAGTAAACTATGACTACCTTTGTATAAATTTTCTCAAGCTATAAGCCTTTTGTAAAAGTTTAAAGATAAATTGTCTTACAAATTTTACATATATTTAACCTTACCCATTAAACTTACAAAATACTGGGATAGTGTTTATAGTATATTTAGGACATATTTTGAGAATAAAACACAGAGAAATTGTAGAGATAAAAGACTTAAGGTAAGTATGAATAAGCTAGGCAGTGATGGCTCACTCCTTTAACCCCAGCACTTGAGAGGCAGAGCCAGGTGGGATCTCTGTGAGTTTGAGTCTCCTCTATAATGTGAGTTCCAGGACAGACAAAGCTACACAAAGAAACTCAGTTTGAAAAAAGAAAAATAAAAAATAAAAATAAGAGTGCATAGTAGACAAAAGGCTAGAATAAGAGATTTTGAAAATACAGAGCAAAGCAAGGTTAGATAAAAGAGCGTGAAGACAAGCATTTTATAAACCAAAGAGAAGTCACAAAAAGAACTTCATAAGAAGGAGTTCCTATTAATTTCCAAGAGGGGGTTCAGAAAGAGGGAAAGACAGAGGCAGAGACAGAGAAAGAGGTGGTGAGGAAGAGAAACCAGAACAGAGAGAAGCTGCAGGAAGGGGCTGAAAGAAGCTCTGGGACTACAGGCAGAAACTGAGAGAAATCAAAATTATAGTAGTCAAACAGGCTTAGAGAAGCTATGGGACCCAGAAAGACTTAGCAAAGAAGACAAGGAAAATGCCACATTGGCCCAGCCAGGCTCAAGGAAGTTTTGGAATTCCAGAGGCAGCTTAAAAACAAAGGTACTGTCATGGTAACAAGAATTTCAACTTGGGGCATCTCCAAGCAGAATAAAAGACTTGTATGAGAAAAATTCCAAAATTCACAAAGGCATTCCTTCCCATATGATCAGAGGCCCTGTAGCTTTAGAAGAGGTTCCTGGCCACTGGTGACTTCTGTGCTAATAAATGGCACTAACCAGTAGAAGAGGAAGCCAAAGAGCAGCTGAGGCTTTTTGGAAAAGGGATGTGGGTTCTTCAATAGATGTCTACGTGAGTGTAGAACAATACCCAGATGGGTGTAACAGGCCAGAGGCTATAGAGGTGAAATGTGTGCTCAGGCGGATCACCCAATATTGAGTTGAAAGTTCAAGCTAGAGTAGAGAGAGACACTCATGGAGTAGAAATAGAGGGAAGTCACTGAGTACCGAGAATCTCAAATGTTTAAGAGCTGGGCTGTGGTGGCACAACCCTTGAATACCAACACTCAGAGACAGGCAACACTCTGTGAGTTCTTAACCAACCTGGTCTGCAAAAAGAGTTCTAGGAAAGCAAGTGTTGTTGCACAGAGAAACCATTTTTAAAAACAGAATTTATAATCATATTTGGTAGATGGCTAACAAAAAATACTGCTTTGTATGTTAATAAGCACCTCAGCCATTTGTTAAAATTTGAGATCTAACAATTATTATTTGGATCCTGGGGCTCTTCCCATCGTTCCATGCTGACCCGATGGAATTCCAGCTTAAAAAAGGTTCTAGATTGAGACGCTTCCCTAAGAACATTATGCTGTTGCAATGCACATCTGATTACTAGTTGTGTGACCAGGGACACAGTTAACCCTGTGCCCTGGCATCCTCACTTGGTGCAGGCCTGTTCTCCGGGTACTTGAATGAGACAGGAGGCAGGGTTTTAAGGGCTACCTTAAATTTTAGTTCAAGGACAGCCAAGGAAACTAAGAGACTCTGGAAACATACTTCATCTCTTTTAACAACAAATTATTTGCAAGGCTTTTTCTGTTTTCTGTTTGTTTGTTGAAGACAGTAACTCTGTGTGCACCTCAATGTTTTTATTTCATGTGGATCTCAATGGGTGGAGCACTAGCCCAGCATGCTTCAGGCCTCTGCATACACAGAGCATGGTATTAAAATTTGTCATGTCAGTGATTGGAGGTGAACTCAGGAAGATCATGGTCAGCCTGGACTTCAAGAACTTGTTTTAAAAACCAGCTCCCTGCAAAACAATGATTAACAAAAAGATCATGTTTCAGTGGATTCATGGGGATGGCTCAGCAGGTAAAGGTGCTTGTAGCCAAGCCTGATAGATATGGGTTTGGTCCTTAGGACCCACATGGTAGAGAGGACTGGGTACCACACACTGTCAACATACTTTTGAACAGTAGTATGCAAGTGCAGGCACAAAGACAAGAATAATAAATTAAATCTTAAAAGAAATGAAAGGGGATGAGAGATGGTTCAGTACTTTAGTACTTCTGGCAGAAGACACAGATCAGTTTCTAGCATCCATGTGATGGCTCACATCTGTAATTCCAAAGTTCCAGGGTATCAAGTCCATTCCATCTGTCTTGGTTCACCCCAGCACTTACAGTTAGTTCCTATTTCTTTCTCTTGCCCAGCCTCTGCCCTGTCCACTGGACTTTCCTTTGTGTGGCCCTGCCCAACCTACCTTGTCAGCACTGACTCCACCTACAATGAATGCTCCTGTCCCAATCCTCCCCCTAAATTCCCCAAACTTCAAGCCCCATACAAGTCTCCAACCTTCCCCCAGCCTGACACCACACCCAATCTCTCTGTGCCCACAGCAGCATCTCAACACTCTGGACTCTCTCTCTGTCCCCAACCCACCCAGGCTCCACACACCTTCCTCAGTCTGTATGTGCTGGTATTATAAAATTATAGCACTACATCCAGGTGAGATGTTCTTTAAATGATCTTTGAATCTGGCAATGCAAGTATAATAAAAGATTTAAAAAAGCATCATTTAAAAAAAATAAACAGTAATGGTTCTAGGAATTTATCAGTGAATTAATTTCAACTGATAACTGCTTTAAAATGTTTTAACTCTGGCTCGGTGGTGGTAGCATACACCTTGAACTCTTGAACTTGGGAAGCAGAGGCAGGTGGCTATCTCTGAGATTGAGGTCAGCCTAATCTACAGAATGAGTTCAGGACTAGTAGGGCTATATAACTTAACTGTCTCCAAAAATGAAAAAAATTACCATGTGTAAACAGCAGTGTCATTGTGTCCATGTGCCAGTCTGAGGACAGTGTACACTTGTCTATTTGTCTATTCTCTAGTTTCCCTATATGAGTACTAGAGATGAAACCAAGGCAATTAATTTGGAACTAAGTGCCCTAAACTGGTGAGTGAACTCATAGGCCCTGATTTTGGTTTCAAAAATATTTATGTATGTGTATGATGTGTGTATGTAGCAATCAGAAAAGAAACTTATATGAAAAATGTAGGTCTCCCAGAGGATGAATTCTGGTCATCAATCTTAGCAGTGACTGCATTTACTCACTGATAAAATTCCCCGGCATTCATTGGCATATCTGAGAAAATATAAAGAACAAATATTAAGCCCCCAGAATAAAGTAACACAATCCAAACATAAAGGATGACAGCATAAATATTTGCAAATAGGTTTTATTATTCAAATTATCCCATATTTGGGGAATATGATATGTCCAAGAACTTTACCACATTAACTATATCCGTAAGTTTTCTCTCCAGTATGACTTCTTTCATGTATTTGAAGATGATTTTTATTAGCAAAGACTTTACTAGATTACTTTTAATAGAGTCTTTCTCCAGTATGAGTTCTTTCATGTGTTTGAAGATTACGTTTATGGGCAAAGGCTTTCCCACATTGATTACACTCATAGGGTTTCTCTCCAGTATGAATTATTTCATGTGATTTAAGATGACTTTTAGATGAAAAGGTTTTACCACAGAGATGACATCTATAGGGTTTCTCTCCAGTATGACTGTTTTTATGCCGGTGAAGTAGACTGTTATATGCAAAGACTTTACCACACTGTCTGCATTCATAGGGTTTCTCTCCAGTATGAATTCTTTCATGTGATTTAAGACGACTTTTAGATGAAAAGGTTTTACCACAGTGATTACATCCATAGGGTCTCTCCCCAGTATGACTTCTTTCATGTGTTTGAAGATTACTTTTATAGGCAAAGGCTTTCCCACAATGATTACACTCATAGGGTTTCTCACCAGTATGAGTTCTTTCATGTGATTTAAGATGACTTTTAGATGAAAAGGTTTTACCACAGTGATTACACTCATAGGGTTTCTCTCCAGTATGAATTCTTTCATGCATTTGAAGATGACTTTTATATGGAAAGGCTTTGCCACAGTGATTACATCCATAGGGTTTCTCTCCAATATGACTGCTTTCATGCCTGTGAAGAACATTTTTACATGCAAAGGCTTTACCACATTGATTACATTTATGAGGTTTCTCTCCAGTAGGACTTCTTTCACGTATTAGAAGATAACTGATATAAGCAATGAGTGTATCACATTGATGAAATCCATGTGTTTTCTCTCTAGTATGAGTTGTACATACTTGATTGAGATTGTGACATGGAAAGTCTTTAATACTTTGATTATCTCCATCATTTTTTACTTTCAAATAAGTCCTTTCATGGACTTTTAAAGACAAATCAGATCCAAATGTTTCATCATGTTGCTTACATTCATAAAGATCCTCTTTAGTATTGGATATTTTTGTGTCTTTGAAGATAGTGTGCCTATTAAAGGAAGAATAACAAACAAAAGGTTTTAACATTGCATCCACATGGCCTAACTTTTTATGCCTACAGATGTGGTGTAGGGATTAGGGCTTCTCATGATAACATGGTCCTTGACTCTCATAAACTGCTCCATTCACTAAACTATGGTAAGTCCCTCACTACAAGTATTTGAGGAATACTAGTATTAATAGTTTGCTTATAAAAGGTCTTGGTCATAAACCCCTTATCAATGTGTATTTCTTTTACAATATTTGCTTGGTATGAAACTATGTGGACGAACAGTGGAACAACATGCCTCTCATATAGCTACGACTGAAACTGTGGCATCTAATATGGTATTGTTTCCTTGTCTTGTTTCTTAAAGGAATGCTTTGCAAACAATGATCAGGTCCCTGACATTGCAGTACAGTGTTGTGAGAATTTAATAATCACCACAAAGTTGAGCTTATTTATACTGTTGCTTTTCATTAAAAGTTCAGGGTTTATTAACATTTCTTCAGAAGTACATATGTATAAGCTGTACATGAAAATTACCTTCTATGTCTTCTAGAACTTTGACAATGTTCTTCAATATTCTCATCTTCCCATTTGTACCCTAAAACAGAACACCAGAAAATGTATGATATATTGCTGGAAATTAGGAACAATTTAAATGTCTATCTTCCATGAACTTTAGAACAATCCCTAATTTATTCGCTAGATTCTTCCTCTTCCACAGTCAAAAATCACAGAAGAGCACAAATCACCAAAAGAGGCTTGGCCCCTTAAGTAAGCTTAAGTAACAGAAAGCTCACATTCTTACCTACAGCAGTGAGGTTCCAGTAGGTTTCCAGCATCACATCTTTGTAGAGACACTTCTGGGAAGGATCCAGCAAAGCCCACTCTTCATGCGTGAAATTCACATGCACATCCTCATAGGTCAATGCATCCTAAAATATCCCATATAAAGATGTAATAGAAATGGTGAGACTGCATTGTAAATTCATACTACATTGAGAATATATTTACATAGTGCTTTGTGCTTAATACAGTCTATAACATGGGTCATAGAATTTCAAAAGCAATAACCAACTCATTATAGAAGGAAACAGAAAAGGATGATGTGGTCACAGAAATAGAACAGAATTGCAGGAGAAATGCCTAGTAATACATACAGAAAGACTTGCCAACAGAGTAATATTATTTAGTATACATCAGCAAAATTTTAAAATTATTGATTTCAAAAAGAATAGAAAATACAGGCATGGTGGTGCACACGTATAAGCCAAAACGTCAGGAGGCAGAGAGTAAAACTCTGTGATTTCCAAGTCAATTTTATTACGTAGAGATTGCCAGTGTCCAAAGGTACATACATAGTGAGACCCTATCTCAAATAAATAAAAAATAGTACTCAGGGGCTCACTTGAAATTCCTCCATAGAATTGGAACACTCACTACAATTCTGTACCTGTCCATCATAAACTTGGAGTAATCCTGATTAAACTGTAAGGTTAATAACTCCTAGAAAGGAAGAAATTTTAATAAGTTACTGACAGGTGAAATTAATAAAAACATTAGTAAAATAAATGCTGATTCTAAAACAATAAAAAAACACCTAAAGAGACAGAGCATATAAAGAGGGGTCAACAAATATGATCACCTGCTGCTACTGAAGAGGACCTGGATCAAACCCCACCACTCAGAGGCTCACAACTATTCCTAACTCCTGGTCAAGAGAATCCAAAGTTTTCTTCCAAGTTCAGAAAACACTGGGCAGACTAGTAGCACATAGCCATGTGTACAGGCAAAAGAGTCACATGGTTTGGGACAATGGTCTGTATTCTGTCAATTATATTTTAAGTAAATGCTGATTGGCCAGTAGCCAGGCAGGAAGTATAGGCAGGACAACCAGACAGGAAGTAGAGGTGGATCAAGAGAATAGGAGAATTCTGGGAAGAAGGAAGTCCTAGTCCTGTCCTGTCCCAGCCACAGAAGAAGCAAGATGTGACTGCCCCGCCAAATAAGGTACCAAGTCAAATGGCTAACATAGACAGGAATATTGGGCTAATATAAGTTAAAAGAGTTAATAATTGAGCTACTTGGCCAATCAGTTTATAACTAATGTAGACCACTGTGTGATTTCCTTGGGACTTAACAACTGCAGGAACCAGGCAGGACAGAAAACTCAAGTCAACAGCCACATATTTGAAAATTTTAAAAATGTAAAAAACACACAAAGGAAGGGAAGGTGATGTTACACACCTGCAACTCAATGCTTCAGGAGATCACTATCAATTTCATGTCTGCACACATTCTTGGAATGCATTCAGTCTGAAGAATGACGCCCTCTACCAAAGTTCAAAGTCATGATGTGGGCAAAACTCAGCACAAGAGCAAATGCTTGACAAGAAACTAATTCGACCAGACAAAAATATAAACATGAAAATATCAAGCAAGAGAAATAGATTAGCAAGGGAAAGCAAACGCTTCTACTTTGCCTTACATTATTTAGGAATGAAGTCTCTAGTGACAATAATGGTGAAGCTACATGTGTGGTGAGAGCATAAACATTCAAAGCTCCTCCCCAGAGACTACATTCCTCCAGGAAGGCTCCTCCTCCTCGGGGTTTCATAAGCCACCACAAAGACAAATGCACAGATACAACATAATGTCTGGAAGATATTTCATTCAACCCTCCACATTTTGGCACAAGTCATGATAGGATCACAGGCAAATCATGATGTAAAATGCATTTAGTCTAATTTCAAAGATACCCATATGATGTAACAGTCCCATCACTGTTCAAACATCCAAAGTTTCTTCTGACACTCAAGGCAACTCCTTGACTGTCTCATCTTATAATATCAAAACACAAATTATACCTATCTAACAGGCAATGGCACAGAATACACATTTCCCTTTCAAGGTATTAAGAAAAGATTGGACCAAAGTCTGAAATCTTGCAGGGCAATCCTAAATCCTACAGCTCTGTGTCAGACACCTGGGGTTTCATTTCCAAAAAAAAAAAAAAAAAAAAAAAAAAAGAAAAACGATTCTTTCTCACTGCAACTTCTCATGTATCTCTCTGTGGCCATTTCTACTTCCTACATGCAGCTTTTTATGGCAGGTGTCTCAAAGTTTGGGTATTTCAACATACTGTTAAATCAACAAAGAGCTGAGGCTTTATCTCATGCCTTCATGCAAGGAAGTCTCACAGTCTCCTCACTGGGGCCCATGAGATCTTTAGGTCTTTATCATCATTGAGACGACATGTCCTGTAGTCCCAGGTGACACTGAACGCCATGTGTAACAATGACAGACCTGAACTTGATCTTCCTACCTTAATTTCCAAGTGCTAGGATTATAAGCACAATCAACCACTCTGGCCTTTAGGGCTGCAGAGTTTTTTTGTGTTTTGTTTTTTAAATTTTTATTCATTTATTTATGTATTTATTTTTAATTTAATTTAAATAACATTTGTCTCATTTATTTTACATAGCAACCAGTTTTTCCTCCCCTTTCTAAACTACCCCCTCCCTATCTGCTCTTCTTCCATCTCAATTTTCAGAAAGGGGCAGGCCTCCCATGGGCTTGCACAAAGTCCAGCATACCAGGCTAAGAGCAGCAGTTTGTGGAGTGTGTAGAGCAGGGCTCCCTCCTTAGGTGACACAAAGGAAATGACTGGCACATGAGAGCTGACCATTCCCGGCAAAGAGAAAACCAGTGGTAATGTGCTGATGCGCTTGATAAACGAAGCACTGAAGCATGGGGAAAGCAGCGCCAACAGAGAGCTAGGAAAAGCTGTGCATTGGGAGGAGCTGATTCTCCAAGGCTCTTCACTGTCAGGCCTTCACTTTTGAGACTACATATGTATATAGGGCATGACCCAAATTGGTTTTTTGGTTTTTTTTAATTAATTAATTAATTTATTTACTTATTTATTAAAGATTTCTGTCTCTTCCTCACCACCGCCTCCCATTTCTCTCCCCCTCCCCCGATCAAGTCCCCCTCCCTTGTCAGCCCAAAGAGCAATCAGGGTTCCCTGCCCTGTGGGAAGTCCAAGGACCACCCACCTCCATCCAGGTCTAGTAAGGTGAGCATCCAAACTGCCTAGGCTCCCACAAACCCAGTACGTGCAGTAGGATCAAAAACCCATTGCCAAATTGTTGATTAGACCTCTGGGGCTTTCCTGCTCTTCTAGAGGACACAGTTTGACTCCTTGAAACCTCATGGTGACCCAATCAATAACTCAATGCCCTCTTCTGTCCTTCTCGGGCTGCAGACATGCACACGGTAGATGGACATATAAGCAGACATAACATCTACACACATACCATAAAACATTCATTTACAAAAAGAGAAAGATCTGACTGCTGAGTTAAAACACAAATGTTTGGAAAACTAAGAGAATTTAGGGGTGGTTAGATTCAGAACACTTTGGACCAAACACGTGGTTCAGTAGTTCCCAGTACTCAATGATCCTCCAAATGACCTGAGTTTGTTACCCAGCAACCCCTCCCCACCACGCCAGTGGCCCAAAACTTCTTTAACTCCAGTTCTAAGGCTCTTTGGGCACCACACATATAAGCAGGTAAAACATAAAATACATTAAAAAATGTAATTTAATTTTAATATATTATTATGTAATAATATATTTTTTTTTGTTTTTGTTTTTGTTTTTTCGAGACAGGGTTTCTCTGTGGCTTTGGAGCCTCTCCTGGAACTAGCTCTGTAGACCAGGCTGGTCTCGAACTCACAGAGATCCGCCTACCTCTGCCTCCCGAGTGCTGGGATTAAAGGCGTGCGCCACCACCGCCCAGCTATGTAATAATATATTAAAAAGAAAAATAAATCATCTAAAGATGTGGCTCAGTAGGTAGCACAGCATACATGAAGCCCACAGTTCAATTTCTATTCCTTAAAGGGGACAAGGATCAGGATACCTGTAAACCCAGCTTGTAAAAGATGGAGGTAGAAGGATCAGCAAGTCCAAGGTCATTCTTGGTAACATTCAGAGCATGTGGCCACCCTGGGGTATATGAGACCTTACCACCTCAAGACATAAGAAGACAAGAATCACATAAGAATACTCCAGGAGAAAGAACAAACAAAGGGTTTGAGATACATGTCAAGATACAACAAGAGAGTTATAGAAGTCCACAAATCTGGAAGAGGTATTGATTTCATTCATAGTCAAAAGAAATGGCAATCTGGGTACAGGAACTAATCTGTCTTCTGCAAGCTCTATAGGCACACTTACACCTGAGACATCTTTCCAGTCAAGGAAATGGCTTCAGTATAGTACCTCATAGCTCACTTTCACTTTATTTCTGTTCTTTAAGAAGTTGCCATATATCCCGGCACGATACTTTGATTTAGTCAGTACATTTAAGTAGCTGAGCATGAGGGCTCACACCTGTCATAGTATTTTAGAGACAGGTGCAGACTATTTGCCACCACATTCTACTCTCTGGCCCCCACAGGCTTGTAGCCATATCATAATGTAGAAACGCATTCAGTCCAACTTCAAAAGTCCTTAAAGTCTGTAACAGTTTCAAACTGATTTAAAAATTCAAAGTCCCTTCTGAGACTCATTTTTCTCTTAACTGTAATCCCTTGAAAACCAGAATCAGAAAGCACATCACATATTCACTCCCAACACCATATGGCACAGCATATATGCTACCATTCCAAAAGGGAGAAGAGGGACTCAGTAAAGAAACGGCTGGCCAAAGCACCCCGACACAGGCCTGGCCACAGCGCATTCCTTAGAAATGGAGGGAATTCCATATGCCCTTTCTTCTGTTTTTGACTCCAAAGCCAGAACCGCATGGCCGAAGCTGCTAAGCTCTGCTGCTTGCTGATGCTGGAACACGGACCCCTCATTCAGCTACATCTTCACCAGCTTTGTTTTCAGTGGTTTCCTACACTGCTGAAGCTCGGCTGTCCTGAAACTCACTCTGTAGACTGTCCTGGCCTTGATGGACCAATCTCTGCCTACTCAGTACTGAGATTAAAGGCATGCACCACCACACCTGGACCTAACTGTTCTTTAATTTCTCTACACAAATTAGAAGGTTAGCTGGCTGTGATCATGGCCTGGGCTCAATTTATTCCATTTCTTAATCTGTTTACTTCTTTGAACAAAGAATTTAGTTCCATTCTGCTTCACGGTGCCACTTTTCTCCTCAAATTGTACATTTTTATTTTTCCTTGCTGTGCTTGCTTCTTTTCATTATAAATCTCCATGAGACTGAAGACTAATAATCACAAAACAGAGTCAGTTCTAGGCTGTTTGCCATTTCCTCTGCCAAAGGAATCGATCCTAAACTCTTCACTTTAGCCTCAGGCAGACAAGGGGGAAAAGGCAGCCACATTCTTCACCAAAATGTAACAAGAACAGTTTCTAGGCAATATACTAATATTCTTCTCTGAAACCTCTGAACCAGGCCCCCACAGTGCAAATCCCACCTCAGCACCACCGTCTTCCATGCTCTCACTATGAGGAGCCATCAAGCGCCTCTTAGAGCGTTCCATTGCTTTCCTAACACAGTCCTAAAGTCCAAATTCCTCCAAACAAAAACACGGTCAGGCCAATCACAGCAACAGCCCAGTCCCCTGTACAAATGTCTCTATTAGTCAGGGTTTTACTGCTGGGAAGAGATATCATGACCACAGCAATTGTTGTAAAGGAAAACATTTAATTGTAAATTCTAATGATAACAGCTTAGTCCATTATCATCATGGGGAGAAGCATGGCAGCATGCAGGCAAATGTCATGCTGGAGAAGAAGTTGAGAGCTCTACACCTTGATCAGCAGGAAGCAGAAGGAGCCTGAGGCACACTAGGCCTAGTTTGAGTACTCGAGACCTTAAAGCCCACCCCCACAGGACACACTTCCTCCAACAAAACCACATATATTCCAAGACCACTCCCCAGTGCCACTCCCCAGAGGACAAGCATTCAAACACGTGAATCTATGGGGGTTACTCCTATTCCAAACCCAACACAACCTTTGATCTATTCCTGCCTAGTGCGTCAGAGGGGTCTGACACCTCCAATCCAAAGGGAAACAAATTAGAAAGTCACCTGTCACCTTCAGAGGTTGTCTTGCTGAGGTGCCTTCCGTTTAGACACACAGCAGAGGTCAGATGTGGCAGCTGACCCACTGTCTGGGAACCATATGATGTCACTGGATGTCTCTGTCTGTTCACTTGTATGACTATATGATGGCTACCCTGCTTGTGTGTATTGTAAGTCTCTCTCTGTACGTCTCTACATGTCTTTCTATGTGTTTCCATCAGTTTAGTTTCCCCTGCATTGAGCCGTGGCTTTCTCTGGTGTGAAC